TATTTTATGTAAAAGTGTGTTTAGTAGTACAAGATCTAAAATAGTACTGAGTCAGGATGCTGACTCTGGCTTTCCAACATATATTTTCTTCATTATAAATATGAATAAGTATCTCATTATGTTGTATAATCTCTTTCAAGTTTTTCTAATACCAGGGTTGGGCTAAAATGTCAGATGACCCCAGTATCATTTGGAAATCATCCTTCCTTGTCAATACTTAGTTTACTTACCAGACAACAGCTCATATGCTTGGGACATATGGATTAAATGTTGTTCATTAGGAAATCGAGGTATAAATGCATTGCCTTATTTCAGTCACTGTGTATCAGTGGAGATTTGATGTCACTAATCTATCACAAAAAGGGCACTTTTCTATAACCATTCAAGATACTTAATCTTTAGAGCAGGCTAGCATTCTTTAAATACTGAAAATAGACTTGGCAAATACTTTAAATACTAAAATAGACTTGGCAAGGTCTATTATAAATTTTTATTATACATCTTATTCTTCACGTGAAAATTTTTAGTTCATCATTTCATCTCATAATTTTGCCACTGCTTTTTTTGTTTTTGCTTTTCCACCATTCTGTATTCAGGGTTACTTTTTTATTTTTGAGACAGTCTTGCCCTGTCACCTAGGCTGGAGTGCAGTGGTGTGATCTCTGCTCACTGCAACCTCTGCCTCCCAGGTTCAAGCGATTATCCTGCCTCAGCCTCCTAAGTAGCTGGGATTTCAGGTACCTGCCACCATACTCAGCTGATTTTTGTATTTTTAAGAAAGATGCATTTTCACCATATTAGCCAGACTGGTCTCAAACTCCTGACCTCAAGTGATCTGCCTGCCTTGGCCTCCCAAAGTGCTGGAATTACAGGTGTGAGCCACTGCTCTCAGTCTCAGGATTATTTTTCTATTTTCCCTACTCAGTTTTGATTTGCCTTCTCAGTGGTTCATTTGTTTCTATGTAGTAGTTCCTTAATAGGATCTTGGACTTTTCTGTAGTTAACTAGAGGTGTGAACTGCTCCATGTATTCAATTTCCTTGTCTCTGCTATATTTAAGTCTTACGGAAATGTTGATTATTTTATTTGCTCATTTGATTTCTTTTTCTATGGTGTAATATTCAAAAAGAGGCTCATGTTATAGGAAGGAAAGTCTTTGACTTATAAGAGAATACATTATATAAGATAGTAGGATGAAAGGTACTTTTTTATTAATTTTAAAACTATTCTGTTAAAAGCTTATCAAACTCTTTGGTTAAAAAATGTTCATAGACTTAAAGACAATAATGATGAAAAACAATAACGATAAATGATCTAATTGGGCATACTGGGAGAATGGGGGGCTTAAGAGTAAGATGATATTATATTGCTAATTTAGTTTACTTAAAAATCAAAATATGTTCAGCATTTTCTTATCTGTGAGGTCTAAAGGAAAATACTTATGATGAAAAGAGTTAATAATTGTCCAGAGTTTGAATTATTCAAACACATTTTTAAATAAATTCAGTAAAATTTTTATCATGCTTATTTCCTAACTGTTGTTATTATTTTAAAGTTAAATGGAAATATTGCAAAGTTCTCCATATTGCACAAATGTAATAACACTGCTCTAAATAGATGTTTGCTTTTAAAACCATCATACATTTTAATTATTTCCTTTTTTGAATAAAGAACAAAGCATATATACATTATGTGAATAGCTTGATATTAAAATATATTGTCAGAGAAGCTGTAGTTAGTACCACTCATTAGAACTTATCATGATTACTCAAAGCTTCACAATTTGTGCTGTCCAGCCTGGTAGCCAATGGCTACATGCCACTATTGAGCATGTGGAATGTGGCTAAGGAACTGAAATTTTAATTTTACTTAGAAATATGCCATATGTCTCTGTGGTTACATATTCGACCATGCGTTTAGAAAATACTCTCTTTTTCTAATATGTACGAACAAATAAAATTGAAATAACACATACAAAGAGGAAAAGAGAAGTTTATAATTTATTTAATGCCTATTATCAGTAAAGTAACATGTTTATAGGAAAAGTAGTAATGTTAGTAGTTGTGTTATTATTCATGATGTTATCAAAGTATTTATTATAAATGTTTTTCTTCTATTCGTGTTAACTCTTGTAGAAAAAATATTTTTAATGAGAAAATTATCACAGTTTGAATTTGTTTATGAAATGAAATACCAATTGGGTGTGTATATGTGTACACATATGTGTTAGAGACATACACACATGGTGGTACTGATGCTTAGGGAGGAGCTTTTGAAGTAATGATATCATTGTATTGTCACACATTTTAAAGCAACATATAATGAGGTGTGGCTTGATGAGATTATTTTTAAAATTAAATTTTCTTGAAATTGTTTTGGTAGAAATGCAGACTTGCTGGTAGTCATAGAAAGCAGTTTAAACAAATTTCAAGAAGTAATTAGGTATACCATCTTCTTATACTTTTTTAAAAAGTAAAATGAACTGCTCTGAATTATGGAATTAACATTTTAAGATGTTATATTAGGTTACAAAGGGAAATTTCTCTATTTCAGCATGTTTTCTTAAGTAGTGAATGGCCATTTCAGGAAAACATTAAAAAGGAGTCATTAGGGTACCTAGAAATCTGTATTTGTGTTGATTTGATTTTATGGATTAGTAAATCAACATATATAGAATGGATTAATCAAGCTCATGGCTCCCTCTTCCACGTGAGCAGTATTCATATGAGCTTAGTTTAGCCACTGGACATTAACTCAAATAACTACATATATAATATTTTCAAAGTATAGACTTGGTTGTATCTATGAACAAACTATTTTCCTATTACTCTGTAACATAAAACACTTTTTTTTCCTAAATAACTGCAATTTGTATAATATTTAGTTTTTCTTCCTGCAAAAGAATTAAATTTGCTGCTCAGTTCCCAGGAGATTTACTACACAGCAAGTATGTAAGGGGAATGAAAGTAATATTTTTTACCAAATTTGCATTTTATAACTCAAACAAAAGAGCAAATATGTATTTTATGTGGCAAATTCATAATATGTTGTCTCACCTACCAAAATATTTGGCTTGGAACAAAAGTGTCATTTTGTTTCAGATTTTAAAAAGGAAGGCACAATTTATGTGATGGGAATGAAATGAGTGCTTTTCTTTACATTTTAAAGGCAGCAAGAAATTTATGGAATAATTCTTTCTTTGATTTCTAGTGGTTAGAATGCTCATGGGTAAACACATTTATAAACCTGGGCCTAATTTTGCTATTAAAGTAGGACAAAAGATTTTCTAATTGTGTGTCTATGTTTTTTTTTTTTTTCCTGAGGAAACAATTTATTCTAACAATCTAGAGAAAAGGACTGTGAGAGTTTTTTTTCTTTAATAAAATAAATTAAGCAGTATTAAAGTTTCTTAGACTTTATAGAATCAACAAATAAATGCAATTAAGAAAATGATATTTTCCATGAGGTTTTTCTGCCTTCTTGCAACAGGATCTATGAAATCATTCAGTCTTCTCACAGTCTTCTTACTCCTCTCTTCTATTGCTGTTAAGAAAAAAAAAAAAAGGTGATACAAGTAGCTATATTTTGTGTGTTTTTCTAGCACATTATTTTTTAAAATTATTTCAATGGATTTTTGGGGACAGGTGGTGTTTGGTTGCATGGATAAGTTCTTTAGCGGTGATTTCTGAGATTGGTGCATCCATCACCTGAGCGGTGTACACTGTACCCAATGTGTATTCTTGTATCCCTTACTCTTCTCCTGCCCTTCCCCCTGAGTCCCCAGAGTCTATTATGTTTGCCTTTGTGCCCTCATAGCTTAGTTCCCACTTGTAAGTGGGAATATACAATATTAACATTGAACGTAAATGGCCTAAATGCGCCACTTAAAAGATACAGACTGGCAAAATGGATAAAAATCCACCAACCAAGTATTTGGTGTCTTCAAGAGATTGACCTAACACATAAGGACTCACATAAACTTAATGTAAAGAGGTGGAAAAAGATATTCCATGCAAATGGAAACCAAAAGTGAGCAGGAAGGATGATTCTCCTTCCTCAGCCTCCTGAGTAGCTGGGATTACAGGCATGTGCCACCATGCCCAGCTAATTTTTGTATTTGTAATAGAGATGGGGTTTTACCGTGTTAGCCAGGCTGGTCTCGAACTCCTGACCCCAAGTGATCCACTTGCCTCGGCCTCCCAAAGTACTGGGATTACAGGTGTGAGCCACCATGCCGAGCCTGATTATAGTAATATTTTTTGGCCAGGCACCTGGCCAACGTGGTGAAACCCTGTCTCTACTTAAAAAATGCAAAAATTAGCAGGGCATGGTGGTGGGCGCCTATAATCCCAGCTATTTGAGAGGCTGAGGCAGGAGAATTGCTTGAATCCAGGAGATGGAGGTTGCAGTGAGCTAACACGGTGACACTGCCCTCCAGCCTGGGTAACAGAGTGAGACTTCATCTCAAAAAAAAAAAAAAAAAGGTACTATTTTAATCAACCCTGAGAGCCTCCTGGAAAATTTCAATGTATGATCTAATTTATTTAGCTAAAAATAGCCTATTCCTTTTAAAATAATTTTCAGTGATTTTCATAAAACTTTGAAATTAATTTAGTCATAAATGGAAACATGTAAATACAGTGAATTTTTAACACCATATCAAATGGAAAACTAAGAGCTCTGAAGAAATGAAAAATCAAATCCTTTTAATATGCCGTGCACTTTTCCTTCCAAGGAATAGCTTCCTTTCAAGCTGTTTGTTACATATTTGAGGGTCCTATTGAAGTGAAGATAACAATATAAAATATTTTTATTTTGATATAAAATTTCATTTTTTCTTTGATATAAAAAGAATATATAATTGTCGGGTCAGTCATATCATATAAATAATTTTATTTTCTACATGTTGCATGTAAATGTAATTTTTAAGCACCAAACTTAAGACTCCTTTTTACAATGTAGTTTAATCATATTTTTAATTTCATCACAAAGTATTTTTTGCCTTTTCTTAGATAAATTAAATAGATTTATTTTGGACATGTCTAAGAACCCAAGTATAGAATAATAAAGTAAGAGTATTTTAATATTTAGTTGAAAAACCTCTGTAGTAAGATGAACAAAGTTGTGAAAAAAGTTTGTATACCAGTAGATGTTTGACACCTCTTTAAAATGAAGACCATTAGTCTCATTAGTGGGAGTTCACCTACTTTTCATCTTAATGATGGCAAACCTAGAACACATTGCAGAATATTCTCTGATGGTAATACACAGGCCAAAGGATGTCTACTGTCCATCTGTTCGTGAAGAAGTCCAACCCACATAATCACTAGAAGGGTTGGTAAGTTGAGCAAGTAGGTAGGGTGTATTTAAGTTCACTCTCTTAACCTCAGTCTAAGAGCCTTCTTGCTCTGTATCCTAATGATGACATCAAACTCTTAGAAAGGAAAGCACTGCTCACCTGAGCCACCTTTCTTAGGAGAGTTGTGTAGCAGTGATTAAGCTTGGTCTGGAGGGTATGTGATAAGCACTCTGCTCAGATCTGTCAATTCCATATCAGGAAGCATTCATTTGTCAGCAATAAAAAATAAAAATAGGTGGTGTGAGCACACATACTGTAGACTGTGCTTGTCACCATGTTTACAGTCACTGTTAAATTCAGTGTTCCTTCCTAAGTCCAACTATTGAAATGAATGTTGAAATGTTAACTCTCAAGATTTAGACTTGAGCAAGAACTGAGGTTATCAAAGCAAAACAAATTTTAAAATCCTTGTAGTAGTTCCTCATGAAAATTTGAAATCACATTCATTACAGCTTATGTGAGTCATTTGATTTATATTATAATATGTTGACTAACAAATACTAAATTAGGTTTATCAAATAGCTTAATCACTATAAATTGTGATAACTTTAGGCTTTCTTGCTTTCCTTCCTTCTTCCCCCTTTCTCTTTTTCTTTTTACTTATTTCTTTTAATTGTCATTAACAAATTTTGAATTAAATACCACAAATGTCTTTGTAACAAAATATTTTTTGGAGAAATTTCTTTAAGTGTTTGTGGTGTGATGCCAGGAACATCTGTGTTGCTGTATCTGGTTTAGATTTACTTTTTTTTTTATTCCTGAGCAGTGAAGAAGGAAAAAAACTGGCTGTTGTAGTTGACTACATATATTCCCTAGGACAAGGACTCCAAGCAGGCTGGGTGGGAGTGTCCTGGAATATTATTTAGGTGGGACTGAAAAAGGAGGTGTTGTCCTCTGTTAAAAAGCATGTTTGAAATTAGCCCAATTCCTGTCCAGGGCCATTTATTTCCTTCCCTAAGTCTCCATAATGGACCTTTATGCTTCATTTTCTCTTTGAACGTCCTCTTGGTTCTGGCCCGCATTTCTCTTCCTTCAGCTGACTGCTGCTTTAATCCACAGTCTCAGTGATTTCTTCCATTTCCCAGTGCTTGAAGCATTCCCAGACTACTGAGGTTTTCTAAAGGCTTTCACTGCTAATACCAAAAGAAAAAAAAAAAAAACAAAAAAAAAACAAAGCTCCATCCTGTGCCACCATGGGAACTGAACTCTGCTGTACTGGCATTTGATCTCCAAAATGGGAGTATAGGCTTGAGAAGTAATGTGATGGGCTAGAGAGACGTGGATAGAAGTTAGCAAGCTCCCTGTATGGAAGAAGGAAATAGAATTTTATTCTTCATCTGTCTTTCAACTGCCTGTTACCACCACCAGTTTTGCTGTAATATGCCCTACCTTGGAGTGCTTGTATCTGGGGCAGAAGCTACTTGCAGTACTGGCAGTTTTGATGGAGGAGAGAGGGAATCAAAGAAAATGAGGGGAGACAGTCACAGGCAGCTGGCAGGAAAGGAAGAAAACCAAAAATCAAAGAGGTAAAGGAATGCCCAAGTGGTATCAGGAAGCTTCTTTTGACCATTTTTTATGTAAGCTGTAGTACTAAATGGACCACTGCCTGTACATTTAGAGAAAGACTTACATATTGCCAAACTTAAACACTGATTATACAGAAAGGAGATTTTTGTGATATTTTATTCCAAATTTTAATTTTTTACTGGTCGTGATTTTCTTTATATTGAAACAAGCACTTTTGTTTTCGTATTCATTTCTTTTCCTAGAACCATATACTTAAGAGTATGTGCAAAGAACACTGGAATGATAAACTAAGGTTACTGTCCTTGCATTCTTATAAGCTGGGGGCCAAAGATAAAAAATTTGTGGAGATGCTCTTTTACAGTGATTTAAAAACAGGCTGCTGCTTCCCTTCTTGTCAGCACACAGCCATTATTCGTAGCATGATTGATATTCTGTTGCCTAATTCCCATCTTTGTGAGAGAAGCTCATCTTATCTGAAAGAAAAATAAAATGTAAAATATGTTTTTCACAGCTTTATATTCATTATTTTTCCAATCAAAAGAAAACAAGAGTGTGATCTTTATAGGTGGCATGGTCATCGTAGTAAAGTTGGTGATTAAGAGATGCACTTCATTTACTCAGCAAGGATTAGGTCAGCAGAATTAAGAAGCCAGGGTTTTCTGCAAACCAAGAGATTTTCCCTAACTTGACAGTGTCCACAGGTAAGGCTGGATGGACTGCTTTCTACCTTACACTAAACCAAAATATGCTGCTTTACCTGTACACCGTGGCATGCCAAAATTCAGCACCTGTCTTTGTTGCTGCTCAAAAGCAAAGTAGCATTTGTTTGTATAAGAATTCACAAAGATAAAGAAAAAGTTGTTATGAGGAGATAAACTATTCTTTTTTTGACTTGACATTTATTGTTTAGAACAGAAATAAAATGGAAAGGAAGGAGAAGAGAAAAAAGTACCTGGAGAATGGTTGTAAATGCTGGAGCTACCACCAGTTATAATCATGTCCAAATTCTGAAATAATGTAGGGATTTTCTTTAGGTTAACAAGTTTTAAATTATGTAAAGTTAGCAAATGGTTACCAGAATAGAATAGAATGGAATAGGAAAGAGGATTTTTATTCTCAGATTGAATCTGAAAATATATAGAAACTCAAGGAAAGTCTGTTCCAAGCCAGTTGTCTTCATCATCATCATCATCTATTTTTTAAAATAGTGATTAATATATCACCCATTTATTCTAGTACTTTGATTTTTTGTTTTTTTTGTAAATCTAAATCTTCGGAGACGAACCTCTTTTCTGGACTTAGTCGAGTCAGAATTTATTTACACATTAAGCATGACTTGGGTTGTATTCAGGAATTCCCATTATTAAGCTTGTTCTCATTATGAATAAGAATTCAGAAAAAAATGCTGGATGCTAGAGTAGGATCCATGGCAAAACCTAGGCTTGTACCTATGGTCATGAAAGGAGAACTCGCTGTCAGGACTGAATCAGTGACCTTGAACTCCTTTTGTAATATCCAACTTAGTACATTCCCAAAGTTGGTGTCAAGCCTGGGCCTGTTGCATTTTGTTGGTTTTTCTTTCCTTTTTTAAATTATAGTTTTAGGCCACACTTTACCAAAATTTCTACTGAGGCACTGCTACTCATAACCATATTTACCTGTCTTTTGTTTACAGAGATTGAATTATGCTGTAGCAGTTGACAGACTGTCTTGGCACATGACTCTCCTCTAAATTCCCTGATTTTATTATTTTACAATACATATTAAATAATCTTGTTAAGAAATAAGCATCTTAAACAGAAAATACAGTTTCAAAGGGCAGTTAAATACAGGTAAAGTATATCTTAAACATTACAATGACTTATATCTTTGTGTTATGTCCAATGTAATGCAGTAAAATAAAACTTTAGTATTTGTGTTTGTGTAGCATCAAGTCACCACTGAAAAGTAACAAATTCAGCCTAATTCCTTATTTAATAAATTGGAAGTCAAAAAACAAACATAAACAAACTAGACGTCAAGATCACAAACCAAATATTTGAAACTTTTTTTGTTGTTCCTTTAAAAATAAACTCTGGAAAATCAAGTATTGTGTAAAGATGTTATTACCCACATTTGGCCACTAGCTATTTTCTATTACATGCTAACACCATATCAGTAAATATGCCTATGTTGATACTTCAATTTTCAGCTGAAATATTTTAAACAAAATTATTGATTTTTAATTCACTAGTAACTTTATCCAATTAAAAAGGTTTTAGTTGAACCTAATAAAATGGTACATTCTTAGTTGTTTTTGCTTTCAAGTTTCTATATTTGCATGTTGCCATGTTTATAAACACTTTTGATCAGATGATGACTGTATTAAGTACAGTTAATTAAACAAAAAATAAGGGTGAGACTAAAATGTCAACATGGGCAGAGTTTACTATTAGAACATTTTCAATAAGTACTGAACCTTGCTCTTGCCCTAGTATCCTAAGACCGCTTTCCCTTCCATTTCTTGCCTGGATTCCAGGCCCTGCATCTCAAATAGAGCTTGAATTTTCCAGTAGGTGCTAATAATGCTTTAAACCTCATATACTTATATTGATTATCTTAGAAAATACAAATCTGCTTGGATATATGTGTTTATACATACGCACATAGGTACACACATGGAAATATGACTAATAAAATATAAGAAAATATGTAGGTATTTTATAGATATATAGAAATATAAGAGAAATTGGGGTAAATATTTTCATTGTCTCAAACAAATTCATATTCACATCCTAAACAGAAGTACAAAGTTTTTAAATCATGACAAACCAATTTGCCTAATGGACAGTTCCCAGTGGACCTCTCTTCCAATGATCACTTTTTCTAACTAACATTTTTAAAAGTTAGCATTTTTCAGCTGGAAACCATCATTCTTAGCAAACTATCACAAGAACAGAAAAACACCGCATGTTCTCACTCATAGATGGGAACTGAACAATGAGATCACTTGGACTCAGAAAGGGGAACATCACACACTGGGGCCTATCGTGGGGAGGGGGAAGGAGGGAGGGATTGCATTGGGAGTTATACCTGATGTAAATGACGAGTTGATGGGTGCTGACGAGTTGATGGGTGCAGCACACCAACATGGCCCAAGTATACATATGTAACAAACCTGCCCTTTATGCACATGTACCCTAGAACTTAAAGTATAATATTAATAAAAAATAAAAAATAAAAAAAAATTTAAGTGAAAAAAAGTTAGCATTTTTATAAATTACAATAAACTATTCTCATTTGCAATAAAATATTAATATGCCATAAATTAACCAAATAAATTACAGATTTTAGTTGCATAAAGCTATGTTGTTTTTATTTAAGAAAAGCAATTGAGGTATTAGAAATACTAAAAGGCAGTAATGGCATGTGGATAATGTATTTGGTAGAACTGGAATATCTTTAAGTCAAATTTCATAGCTTTTTCCAATAGCCTTCTTAAAATCTAACTCCAAATTAGTATATGAAAATAGAACCTTTTAGAATTGTTAAAAAGAAAACAAAACAGCTTTTAAAAATAATTGCTTAGAAAGACCACACCAGCAACATGTAATAACAGTAATGTTTTCTTTATACTGGGCAGTTGAAAGATTTTTTTAAAGCTCTTTGCAGAGGACATGGCAGTATTATGAAAGTTTGTTTCACTTCCTATCAATGCTGCCAATGGGAGGGAATCTGCTCCCCTGTGATTTTGTTTTCCCCCTTGAATGATAGTGATGGAGCACTTGCATGATGTGTTTGGTGCCTTGCATGAGGAAGACATGCAAAGGCAAGGTCCAGTCTGCATGCTGCTTAATGAATGTTTTTCCTTTTCTCTCCCTCCTTGTCATGCGCTTTCAGAAGACAACAATGTGGAAGGTGGGTGCTTTCTACCTTATTTTTCCAACTCTCATTTGTCCTTTATTTCTTAGTGCTAATAGAGTACATCTTGAAGTTAGACGGTAAGTTGAACTTCTTTCTGAACATTTGTTGGTTTCTGAATTGTGTATCACTTTTCGTACAGAACATATACATTCTCAACCCTGCCATCCCAAGTATATGAAACTTTGTCAAGCTTAACTTCAACCCTTGATAGATCTCAGCATCCCATATGAACCTTAGAATAGTTATTGCAGTGTTCTGTATGAGAAAAATGATACAATGCTGCTTTTTTTACTTTAAAAGACAAAATATTTCTTTGTAGTTTCATAAGACAGTGCATGATCCTTTTTCCATTTTTTTATCAAAATGATTTATTCTATTCTGTTGGAAAAATTTAGCATTATGTCATTTCAAGCCCACTGGTTTGTTTCAAATGATTGCATATGTAAAAAGAATGCAATAAAGTACTGAGTATAAGTAAGAGACATAAATTTAGGTTAAAAAATAAGCCATTGTTCAGTGGAAATGAAAGCATACAGCACTTCGATATGATTACTGGTAAGTATATTTGCAATATGTTTTGCCTGCTAAATATTTTATTCAAGCTTTTATAAAAAAATTATCTCTATCACAGAATTTTGAAGAAGTTATATAGCTTATATATTTTCCTGTAGAATCCAGCAAATTAAAACATATTTCAGCATTCTCATTTTTTAAGAACTTAAATGCATTAGTCAGTGTGCTACAAACAAATCTTCAAAGGGTTAACGTGCAAAAAGAACTAGGCATAACAAAAGAATGGTGAAAGGGAAGGTTTTATCAACTTATATATGTTCTATCAACTTATATATTCACAGCATTAATAGTTCTTGCATAAACAATTTACTAATATATATGAGAAGGCAGCATTTAGTATATTTTATTTTGCTACCATATTTTGAAATATAGTTATTCTGTAAATGTACATTTCTATAGAATGAAGGATTTCTTAGAAAAAGACTCCCTATCCCAGGTTACAGACAAATAGCCATTAAGGTTACCAAGACTTCATGTATCTAAAAAGAACACTTGATGGTAATTCAAAGTTGACCAGTAGCAGGGATAAACATTTTATTTGTCATTCTTACATGGATAATATTATAATTGCTTAGCTGCTGAACATTTCTGTTTTATTATTTAAATAAAATAGATTAAAAATTCAAAAGAAATCATAAATGATTATTTTCCAAGTGTTGTATCCATATATGGCTTCTGTTTTTTTATACTATAATTTTAATTGCATGTGATTATATACTTGATAAAAATGATTTATTACCCTGCAGGCTTAATATCTTTTAAAATCAGTCTCATTTATATTGTGCATGTCAACTGAGTTTAAAAGTTATTTTTTAAAGGTATCTTTTCCACTTATTTTGCATTTCCTTAACCATCCTGTGAAATGCTTTCCTTTTCTCTTAAAATCCTGTTGCATTCCAAGAGGCTTTAAAATCAGCTTAATTAGCATGAATGCTTCTCTCTTTTCACACACACTCATCTCATGCAAAGTTTTGATAAGATTTTTAGAATATAAGGCCCATAATCTATTGTAATAAAGTCTATTCAATAATGATTTTAATATTTCTATCTATAATATAACCTTTACAATGCAGGTAGGAAGTCTAGCAGGAAGAATGTGAATTCTTTGGGGATTAGTGAGTTTCCATCCTTATTGATGTAGCATCAAAACCGTTAGAAGTACCTAATATATTTCCTAAAAGGTAGATCTTCAAGACAATTTCCTCATTTAGTCAATAAAAACTTGTTATTTGGAAAAATCTATAGTAGTTTTAAAAGTGAAATTAAATGAAAAATTATATAACCTGGACAAATAAACCATTATTTATCAGCATATAAAACACCATGAATTATCAATAGATCATAAGCTGTTGAATCCGCCTATGTGAGCTTTTTGTTAAAATCACTCAGAAAATACAGAGAGGCTACAGTTCAGAGGCATCAAACTACTATGTTTAATAACATTCATATTATATTGTGATTAGATGATTATTTATAATTATATCTAGCCTACAGAGATGTTTGAATACCCCCAAAATTTTAAGAAAACAACACAGATAATTTAAATACTGATGAAACCAATGTGTAATGTTATATAGTTCAAATAAAGTTTCTGAAATAGCACTGGGAATTGAAAATACAAGTTTATTAAAATTGATATATGTATATTTCTCTAGCAATTTCCCATATTTTAGACATATACATGGATAGAGAAATAGCTTTGTTTCTGAATTTAAGATAAAAAAGTAGGAATTATGCCTTTCAGTAAAAAGTAACTTCTTGAATAGCAAAAGAATTTTTGAAAGCATATTAGTAGTATTCTTTAGAGGAAGAGTGCTCTTCAAGTTTGAAGTGAATTGTCAAGCAGGAAATAATAAATAAATAAAAGGATTTCAATGTCCCTTTAAAAATTCCTTGGTGAAATTACATCTGTAATATATATCTTTACACTTAGAATTCAGCATTGAAGAAATGTCTAGGTGAAATCTCAAATAATTTTGTTCTCTGAGAAAATTGCTTTAGCGTATTTGCAGCTGACGCATTGTTTCTTAAAAACCCTTTTCTGTAGTAAATTCTAACTTTACAACTGCATGTCTAATGATCATTTTGTATTTGAACAAGCCTAGTCAGTCGCTATATGTATCAGACAAAAAGACATTTCTGCATTATCATTTCAGTGTGACTACAATTTTTTTTCTTCATTTAATTATAAAACTGCTCATTTTTTGATGAGGGGAAAAAGATCAGACCCAGCCCATGTTTCAGGTATTCCATTGGGTTTTAAAAAGTGTAATTTCATCACTGAAGAATTACAAGCCCTGTGGGGGCAATATTCAAAACAGTCTCATCAAAGGGCACAGAGGGCAGATGTAATATTGAGGGGATTGGTTGGATTTTAAGTCATGCTCTTGTGCTCTTGCTTGTTCCAACTGATGCATGGAAGAAATACACCGTGCAGCATATGCCAGTGTTTAAAATGCAGTTCTAGAACACTTTGCCCCAAAGCATTCCAACCAGGGGTTGAAAGAATGCTTTTTGATTTGCCTCTGTGATACAGACATGTCTCATAGGAAACGAGATGTCTGTCACTGAACATTTTTGTCACCGTGACAACCCTGCCTTCCCATGCTCCCTTGTTTATTGCTGACTGTGCTCTTGTTTCCCTTCAAGGTCTGGCGCACCTGATGATGGGCGACCAAGGTATGGGCTCTGTTCCTTTTCCACTCTGCTTTCAGTGTTTTCTTGTTCTGTAGCTGCTTTCAAACCATCCCTGCAAAGGATGGGCAAATGCTTGCAAATTATGTGGCTGCAAATGAAATACATATCTTTCGTTCACATTTTTTCATGTGTTTTTCTTCCCTTTCTTTGTTGGTTTGATTTTGATTTGTTCATGTGACTTTTTAATTTTCCTTCATTTCTTGCATTATAATATCTGCAAATAAATGAGACATAAGAAATTGTGATTGAAATTTTCTGTGTATTTATCAGCATATGCAGTAAAGGGTGGTTATGGTAAAGGATAACCGGGAACCATCAGAAATTGCTGTCTGAAAGAAGATCCTCAGTTTAAACCACTCTATCCAAAAAATCAGTCCATTTTTCATCCATGCATGACAGTTTGGGGACACGCAGACATCTTTGGCTTCTGGCTTCTAGAATGCTGAGTATAGTGTTCCACAGAATCAACACTTTCTGTAAATTTATTTTGTGTCTCTCTTTTGTGTGATCTTTTAAAAATTGAGCATGGGCCATTCAATTTTTTGCATGTACTTGACTTCAAAAACAGGCAGAATTCCCAATGTGTCCTGATTGCGTCTCCATTTGTCTTCAAAACCTTGTTTATACTTCCTTGTCTCGTTTAATTTTCAGAGAGTAGTGACTTTACATATGTTCATAATTCTTATTGTTGTTTTTCTCCTCTTTATCCTCTTTGTCTGGAAACCCTTTCTTCATGGACCCATTTCATCAAATCCATAGGTAAAAGTAAAGGTATTACATTATTTTATTTCTTCTTAATATCATCTGTATGAATTACAGTGTGTCTGAGTTATGTAAATGTATTTAGACCTTTTGGCATTGGTAATGGGCACTGGGAGGTAGGTATATGTGTTAATAAATATTTTATAAATTTACGGTAAGAAAAAATCATCAATATGCTTCTGCTTTTGCCCCCACCCTTTTTTTTTTTTTTTTTTTTTTTTTTTTCTCTTTAGAGTGATCTTTTTCATATGAGGTGCTCACACAGTTAGTATATTTAGAAATTAGCTGCAGGCTTTGGTGTTAGTTTTTGCAGTATCTTTTAATGGTAGTTAAATAAGTCTAGGAACTGTAAATATATCATCTTCAAACATTCAGCTCTGGAGCACACCTGCCCCAGCCATTCTGTGTTGAGACATAAGTCTAAGCATATGCACCACTGAAATGGTACTGCTATGGGCACATCACCTTGTTGTCTGCTAGGTACCATTTATGCACATGAACACTGTAGTAACCTAAAAAGGTAATATTAAGAAAGAGTCAAAAGAGGAGAAAGACATTTCTCTTTATGCATACTAACTTTGTTTTAAGGACATTATCAACTAGCTATGCATACCCGCATTGCTTGGTAAGTCAGGCATGTGTACTCTTCGATGGTCTTGGTACAAAATCCAGAAGTATGTGTAATTTGCCATTTAAAACCATCCTCATTGTGTTTAATGTTGTCACTAAAAGGAAGAAAGTGGTATGCAGCTGTGGCGAACATATAGAACAGTCTTTAAATCAACCGTTTTTAACTGTGTATTAGTGAATGTTTCTATTTAGTTTCTATTTTTTAATTATTATTAATGGTTTAAATTCAGGAATATCTTTATTCTTTCTTATGTTCTCAATGTTAATCTGGTGAATTGGGACCACAGTTCACAGTTCTACACCCTTATGTTTGTGTCATCTAGCAGCAAAACTTTTCTGCTTGAAAAAGCACCTGAACATGAGCCAGGCAATATGTAAGAAATGATATCAATTTTAAATGTGTAAAATAGAGCTTTAGAAACAAATGCTGTTTGAATACTTTGATCTAACAACATAGGTTATCACAGTTTTTGTTTTGGTCAGCTATTTTCAATAATATAATTTTATCTCATATTAAGCCTTTAGCAACTATGCAAATGATAGTATGTATCAATTATTTTAGAAGTTTTGTGTAACATTTTGAGGGCTTTCTAAACGTTTTTAATTGAGGCCAAAATCTCATCCACTGCCTTCTCTTAAGCGGGCATTTCTCATCGTGTTCTTTATTATGTGGACTTAGGATGGCATAGAGGGAAGAACATATTTTATCTTACTGACTGAGTAAAATATATGTGTATGTGTTTGTATATATACATATGTGTATTTGTATGGATGCATGTATAAATACACAACTTGTAAGTATATACACTCCTATATTTGCTATTTTGTGAAAAATAACTCTTAAAATAATTTTTAAATTATACAACAATTTTCTACATGTGGAGTAGTTCATGTTTATACTCAGCTGCTATTTGTTTTGGTGTACTTAATGTTAAGTGTCACTTAACTTTATTCAGTTTTTCTATGTCAGTCTTAAATGTTTTCTGTTGGCCTGTGTGTCAAACATTATATTTTAACTTCGCCAGTTTTCCTCAGATTGTATTCCTCAATCAGCACAAAGACACAGAGGACGGGAACTTGATTTTTTCATTGCATTCTTCTTCTGTTGTCGGGATGAGTATGCTTTTTGCTGTTAAATGGAGGAAGAAGATTTTAAGGTGGACTTGAGTATTTTGCAAATCAGAATGGTACCCATTACATATTGTTTAATTAGATGTAGAGAAATGAGAAAGGTGATTGTAAATCTTCTCTAATGGCAGATTAATTCCACAAATCTATATTCTAGAGCAAAAATACAATCATGACTATGACATGGCATCCACATTCAAAGAGTGTTCGTGTAACAAGGAAATGAAAACATGTGGGCAAGTTAGAATGAATGACAGAATGGAAATGCTATGATAGTGGTACAAAGTGAACTAGGAATTCAGAAAAAGGCAAACATAACATCAATCCAAGTCTCTTTTATGTGAATATCCCCACCTTGTGCCATCTGTTGAAGGGATTAAAAAACAATCTAGAAAAAATAATTTAGAAACTTTACATTGTAGCTTCCTATATGGAATTAAATCCTAGTTGTGCATAAAATCAGGGTTAAATCTGGCCAGTTTAAATAACTGATTTACAGTGTAAACTTATGTTTCCTAAATTTTTACATCTCAATATAATCATGGAGCAATTTTCTCAATTTTCCCACTTTTCTCTTGTGTGAGTAGTGAATTCAGGGGATCTGGAATGAAGTTTTGTGGATTAATGTCTTTCTTTTTGGAAAAAAAAAAAAAAGACTAGAAAAAATTCAAGAACATTTTCATTATTTTGATTTCTTCTGTATGAATTCTTAAATATTTTCTTTTTAAATGTCCAGTGATTAACATATTTCATTAAAAAATGAGTAACACATGTAAAAAGAACATTCCTTTCGATAACCTTCTTCATCCGCCTCTCAAGTCCTTTCTCTTGAGGTAAGCACTGGTCTTACTTTGTGATGTGTCCTTACAGCGTTGGTGTTGATCCTTCTGTGCTCCATAACAACTCAGGGTTTGGAAACTGCAAAACCCCTTATCAGTGTACATGACAAAAATGGCGAAGTCAGCTGGAGACATGGTAGAGACCACTGCTATGGGCTGGCAGAATCATAATGAATGAAACACAAGTTTTCTCATTCTTCTCATAGGCCACAGTGCCTCCTATTTTTAATTAGTCATCCTGTATCAGACTTTAGAGTCAATCTGTTACTTGTTTTTTTTTTTTTTTTTTTTTTTTTTTTTACATTCCCTAAACAAAGATGTGTCACCTTTAACTGGATATGGTTAAGAATAAACTTTGTTTGAATGAATTGTAGTTTTCTTTGTGGCAGCTGAAGATCTGTTATTCAAAGCCAACCTTACTTTTGCTAGTTGTGGGTAGATGGATTCAAATAGTCTTCATGAAATTTGGATCACTTTTTTTTTTTTTTTTTTGTCTTGGAATTTGTCAGTGATGTTGTTAGGATCATGGATAATGCTAATTTTATTCTCCTTTCTTTTTAGAATTTATGTTTATCTATTTGCCTTGAATTAAGTATGTCTTTTCTCTTTTGTTTATTCTTGTTTCTTTTGCTATGTATGCGTAACTGGTCACTTCGTTCCAGTAATTGCTTTGATTATTTATTTATATTTTACTTTGATGGCTTGTCAAGAATGAATATTTAAATTACAAAAAAGTCAGAATATGTTATACATGAAAGTCCAGCCATAATAGTTGGTTAATAACTCAGGAGTACAAGTTAATAATTATCAGCTAATGTTGGCACTTTGAGTGGAGGCTTGTACTTTTCCTTCATAAGTCATCATAATTGTAATTACGTATTTGTATTTGTGATTATACTTAATGTTAACTTATCCTGGTAGAGTGTAAGCTCTATGAGGGCAGAAACCTTGTCTTTCTCTTTGACCATTGTATTTCCAGAACATTTTTCTTATTGTATTTTGAATTTGCCGTTTCATGACTGAAGCATATTTGTTTGGGGGTGACAGTTTCAGTTGTCCATTTTAAAAAGTCAAATGAACATTTATTGTTTAATTATCCAGGCTTCTCATGTTACTAGAAAAGCAAAATATTACAAGTAGAACTGAAAAGAATATGGTTACACATTCTGAAAGTACATAAGCTTTATTCTTTTTATGAAGAGTAGATCTTAAATTAGTATAATTTATAAAAATGATAGATTTTTCTCAAAGCTGATTGTTAAAGCTGATTATAATAGTTAAGACCTGGATACAACTCTTCTACCTTAACTAATTGATGAGTAATATCTAATATTATCATGTGCTTTAAATTTTTATCTATACTGTCATACCACAATTAATATTTTATTAAACTTACTCTTAAAATAGATTTGATATTATTAATACTTAGAAAAGAATAAAGCATTTGGTGTTTTTTAAATACATGTTCTTTTGTCTTTGTCTTAGGCATTTGGGCTGCTATATAAAAATACCATGAACTGGGTAGCTTGTAAGTAACAGAAACTTATTTCTCAAACGTCTTTAGGCTGAGAAGTCCAAGACCAAGGGCTGGCACATTCAATGTCCAGTGAGATTTTGCTTCCTGGTTCATAGATCACTACCTTCTTTTTGTGTCCTCAGGGGGCAAGAGAGCTCTCTGGTGTGTCTTTTATAAGGACAGTAATCCCATTAATAAAGGCTCTGCCCTCATGACCTAACCAAATACCAAAAGCCCCCTCTCCTAAATCCATCATTTTGTGGGTTAGGATTTCAATTTATCAATTTTGGAAAGGCACGACATTCAGATCACACAGTTTCTCCATGACTTTTTCTTTTCTTTTTTTTTTTTTTTCCATTTTCGATGCTGTGTTGCTATATAGCACATTTGTCTGTGAAGTGCCTAACTTCCAATTATTAAAATCCTAATGCATGTTTGTTTTATACTTTTAAATATATTTTGCTGTGATTTCTGATAGAGACCTAATTTGGTTATTAAAATATGATATGTATCTTCTGTATAAATTCTTAAATTGTATTTCCTCATTTAGCATCATCATAATAAGTCATCTGTTTGTTCAGAAAAGTTTGTGGATGTTGGCAGAACCTTGCTGTTGAAATGCCTGTGTTTGGTGCATATACAAACTAAGAAGTCAGAATTTTTTTTTTTTTTTTTTTTTTAATCTACTGTGTTACCTCTACTCTTGCAGTACTCTTGTAGTCCCCTTAATTCACAACCACAGACCGTGGGAAGACCAGAATTTCACCTTATAAAATCAGACATTAAATATCTACTTTTATCTGTATTATATACATGGAAGGCTATATGACTATTTAGAATTCAATGTTTAGCAGTTCATCTTTAGCTTACATGTTCATTAGCTCTGAGTAGAACCA